ACACATGTAAATAAGTATTAGCAATCTGAGGTCCTGCATTAGTCCCCATCGGGATCCCAATAACTTGCTTGTATATCTTACCTTGATAAATAACAAAAGAATTATCGATCAAATAGTTAACACATTCTATAAGCTCATCTTTGCTGAAACTAGTCTTATTAGAACTACGTCCTTGGCTAAAATAAGCTCTTTTCGTATAAATATTAGGAATGATAAACGGCTTCTCTTTAAATCCAAAAACACGGTTGATAAACTTTAAAAGATTAGCTTTTAATTGTGTATGAGGAATGGAAGTATAAAGAGTAGAGAAATCGTAAGTATTAATAGATTTAGAACCCATTCTCAAGTTATTAGCGTGAATAAAATCTATAACAGGCTCGATATTGTCTATAACATAGAAATCATTTCTCGAGTGAAATTTATTATCATAAAGAGACCTATTTATAGCTGAATGCAATAAAGATTTAAGACAAATTCCCACATATTTAGAAAGTTGCTGTAAGCTACATGCAGCACCTGAAGTAATAAATCTAAAACCCACTGGCGATTTATGCTGTTTAGGGGTAATATATAAATACGGTAATTTACAATTTTCAGGTAATAATTTAATTCCATATTTTAACATAAACTTTTCATGTTCTTGGACAATGTCGTCAACTGACCTGTCAATCATCTCGAAATTATCTGAAGCCAGTTCTTCATGAATCTTCGAAATGTAAAACTTCTTACATACAATAGTAATATTATTAGCAGCTTTATCAGTAGGTACTAACACATATTTATCATGCAAAATATCAAGTTCATGTTTCACGTTCTCATCAGAAAGAGTAGTATTATAAGGAAAAGGTTTACAGTTCTCTAACTGTCTCTTTACTTGTTCTAATATAAGTGCTTTCCATTCAGCAAACATTTCTATAGGTTTTTTATATCGCTCCGACATTTTACTACAATAATCAATAATTGCTTTTTTAGCAGCTTTAAAAGCTAGATCAGTCGAAGGGGGTGCTTGATCCCGATAATTAAGTCCTTTAGATAAAACAGTTCGTAACTTATCATCTTTAATTAAACTGAGATCTCCTGTAATAACATGATTAAAGTGATTATCCCTAAAGGAACTAGACGAACAATCACATGACATCGTGTTAGGGTCAGAATGATCATCATAAGCCTCTTTATAATTTAATACTCTCGATCTAATAGTTCTAGGATAATGATATGAAATAGTAGGTGCTGATAAATTATTAGAGTTAAAAGGAGAAGCTACAGAGACAGCCGAATCTTTAAAAATCTTCCTAAAATTAATAGACTCCACATGCTTGTTAACGTAGTTAACAACAAGGAAAAAGGAAGATTTAGTCTTCTTCACTCCTACTCCCATTCTACACAGATAGAACCAAGCAAGGTCTTTAACAAGTAATAGACGATACAGATGTTCTGTTCTGGCTGATGCAGTCTGAGAAATAGCTTGAATATAGACCCTCTTTAAATGAACTTTCTTTAAACTAGCTAACTGTGTTCTGATAGAATGAAAGTCTATAACAGAGGATCTGATGAGAGTGTCAAAGAAAGTGTCCTCACAAAATGAAGTAGCATCACCAGCATGAGGGACCTGTATCCCACCCCTTAAATGCCTATTAATCTTCACCACGTCGAATTTACTATAAATGGTGTCCTTCGAACCCATTACTAGAGTGCTTAAGTCCATAACCCCAACTTTCTTAGCTCGTAGGTTAAGCCCATATGGAAACAACGTATTAAGCTTAAGCATCCAAGTATCCTCTATATCTTCACGTTGTTTCAAGGTGGTAATAGCAGGAAGAAGATGTACCGGCATAATAGAAATGTTCTCAGGACTATGAACCTCAGTGAAGTGTTCTCTCAAAACCCTACAACCACCACCCCTGGTAATAGTCGATTTGTGCTGGCTAACCCTAGCCTTAATGGTGTTAATGGTATGGCCCACATACTGGTAATTACACCCAATATGCGTACATTTTATCACATAGACACAATTCTTAGTATCACACGAACCATTGAACGTGAGGGAAAAAGATTCTTTAGTGACATGGTTCTTGACATAATTATCCATGCAAATTCTAGATGAGCATGAAATACAAGAATTCCTGTCACATCTATACATGCTATAGTTTGAGTCATCTGCAGTAGGAGCGTTCTGGAAACTGTTGTTATTCATGATCACTTGTGACAAAAAACAAGAAGAGAGACAAAATTGTCATGGATCAGACGAGGCGTCGAGACAGCCGTAGATAATCCCCAAGTATTTACGTCTTCAGTTTACAAATCAGTGAAACACAAACATACTATGCGGGGGGACTACAGACCCCCTCAAAGTCCTTTACAACGTTACTGCCAGGTTACATAGCACTGAAAGTGAAAATCAATATCATCAGAAATTCAAATTCAAAGCAATGCCGTCATAGTATTACAAAGCCCCAAAACGCAACAATGCTTCAAACTCTATTATAACATGAGCATGCAAATAACATAAATCATCTAAAAACTGAAAAGGGTAAAATAAAATAAGAATATAAACTGGGTCAACTAAATAGTACTAATACAACAACTCATCTCACCAAAGAGATCCCTAGACACGCACGAAATAACTCAAATAATGTAAATAAGGTGAAAATAGGAACTCAACCTAGGTTCCAGGTACAACCACACGCGGGAAGCGTGAGCCGAAGAGAAAAGGCACATTACACTCAAGATTCAAGGTCCCAATTAATAAAAACGATATATGAAGGACAAACAAATATGAACTACTCCAACATATCAACAGTCTACACATTCCTAATCAAATATTTTGATAACACGATCGTAAATATCTACCCCAAATTTACACCAGATATTAAGTTTAGAATTGTAAAACTTGTCATTGTCAATGTGTAAAACTGATTATACGGAGGGGGATCGGAGGGGGTTGAAAATGGGCCGATTAGTGATTACGTAATTATATGTGAACCACCCCTTTCTAAGAACTAGAACTGTACAAAACTGTATTACTAATAAAGCCTTAATTCAATATTAATAATAAATGTTTGTCACTACATGACGAATGGAAACAGTCTTCTACCGTAATCCAAAAAAAATATTTAAAATTTTCCAAAACTAGGAGAGATTTTAAAAATCTCGTTGATGCAAAATTGGACGCAATTAACTTTGAAGATGATGATAACAGAAATCTCAATAACAAAAAGTTCTGGTCTTTTGTGAAATCTTAATCAAACTCTAATCGCATTCCTGAAACAGTCAGCTACAATGGTTGCCTACGGTCCGATCCGCAGGGACAGTGCGAGTTATTCAATAAATATTTTAACGAACAGTTTACAGAGGGTAGTGATTATGATATAAATATCGACTTTTCCAGTGACCGTGATTTTCAGGTCAATTTCGACACTTGTAAAATCAAAGGTTTACTTGAAAATATTGATCCAAGTAAAGCGCAAGAGGCCGACAATATCCATGGAAGAATTTTAAACTGTTCAGTGAGCCTGTCTAAGCCTCTTGCCATCCTTTTTGGAGCCTTTTATAAAACTGAATGTATTCCAGCAGATTACCAACTATAGGCCAATTTCTCTGACAAGCATTATTATGAAAATTTACGAAAAAGTAATCCGGGATGAATTGCTCAATCGATGTGAACATCTTATCGATCAACGTCAACATGGTTTTATGAGTTGAAATCCTGTACAACTACAACTCAGCTAGTTAATTTCTGTGACAGCTTAGCCCTATCAGTATCTCTCAATGACAATGTTCGCACTGACATAATATACTTTGATTTCCAAAAAGCTTTTGATTCTGTCAACCACGACATAATTCTGTTGAAGCTCAAAGAACAATATAACATTGATGCATCTCTACTGAGATTCTTCAAGTGCTACCTTGAAAACAGAAACCAAAGGGTTGTCATTGGAAATAAAATGTCTGCTCCCTGTCAGGTTAGATCAGGTGTCCCCAGGGCTCAATTTTAGGGCCTACTTTATTTATACTTTTTCTTAATGACATTACAGAAGATTTGTCACCGGAAACAAATATAACCATGTATGCTGATGATACAAAAATATGGCGTATATAGAATCACGTCTCAGGATGACCATTGGCTGCTCCAGCAGAATATTAACAGTCTTCAAAATTGGGCTCATCATAATAAGATGGTGTTTCACCCCTCACAAAGTCACGTTCTTTCTATTACCAGAGCATATTCTATGAATCGTAGTGTTACTGTTAATTTTGTGTACTCTATGAATGAAACGGCTATCGAATACACAGACATTGAAAAAGATTTTGGAGTACATATCAATAGTAAGTTAGATTGGTCACATCACTGTGATATGATGTACTCTAAGGCTAGTCAGAGGTTAGGCCTTCTAAAAAGAACATGTTACTTCACCAAGAACACTAAAAAACGTCGGGCCTTCTATCTATCTCAGGTTAGAAGTCATTTCGAACACTGCACAATTGTCTGGCGGCCTCATTCAGAAACCTCGGTGGAAAAACTTGAATCGATACAAAAAAAGAGGTCTCAAGTGGATCCTTAATGATATTTAATTGAGCCTTAGGGACAAAAAAGGTATTTCATAGCGTGTAAGGAACTAAATATCCTTCCACTCTCGGTAAGGTTTGATTACAAGGATATATTTATATATTTTCATAATATTTTTTATGACATGTCAGTTGTGACATTTCCACCTTACTTACGACGTTTCATGGGAAGTAGGTTAAGGCGATCACATCTACACGATCTCAGTATGATTAATGACATTTCTCCTCAAGTTCCACAAAACCTTACGTCAAGCCAGACCAGATGTTCAGGCATATCTAAGTCTTACTTTTACAGAGCACACATTCTTTGGAATAAACTCCCTTATGAATTAAGGGAAATCTCAAGGCCATCCGTGTTTAAAACCCATTTAATTCAGTACCTTGGACAGTTCTAAACGACCATATAACATCTTCTGACAGTTAAACAATTTACCTAAACTTTCACGATGATCAGACACACAAACTTTGATAACAATAACGAAACAATACTTTACTATCAAGACGAATTATGAATAACCTCGAGCAGTTTTACAATACTAAACACCTCAGTACAATTTCACTGTCATTTTACTGATTAAAGATCTGTGCGCATTCCTGGCATTAATCTCACGAATTATATTTTTTGTACTTAATTACAACCCCGTACAAATGCTGCAAATCCTTAATCAGTAATTATAATCTCTTGTTATAGATCACGATATTATATATTTTGATAATTGAAAGTTTTCGTTATCTTTCATGTAACTATATTATCTAAATATAAATTGATAAAAAGTATGATTAATAAAATATGTACAATAAAGTATGTTTATAATTATGATTTATGGTACATTGTTATTTATCATATCTATATTTTAGGCTGTAACCTTTTTAGTTCAATGGAATAAACCTAGCATGCCTTGGTTGCAGCATCGCTTCACTTATAGGTGCATATAAGGCCCGATGTAATTGCTATGACCAGTTTACTGGTCAACTGGTGTTTCGGTGTCCCTAATTTTGTTTACACTCGGTCACTTGTCAAGGCATGTAAGGTCATTCGGCGATATTTTCTTTGAAATAAAATGATGTATCTGTGTAACAATTTGAAATTTTATTGATAAAAAAATACAAGAGCTCAAAAACAAAAACCCAAGTTTACTTTTAGCCATGTGGCCAAATATTTAAAATATTGCTCTAAACTATACTAATATCATGCAAATTTATTAATGTCTGAATGCCGAAGCAATACATTTATTGTTTGAGTTCCCCTTTTTCTTTGAAAAGTGTATAATACAGTTTATATGCTCTAAATCTAATTCAGTCAGGTTCGTTTCCTTTTGTAATATCTATTCAATCTGCGATCATCAAAAAGATCACTTGATAGAAAATTCTAAAAGAATGCTACTACCAGGAGAACAATTATGATGGCTGAGCTGCTAGTAAGGATAGCAGCTTGCGAATATTCACAACTGAATGTTTTTGCGCAGTCGTCATCGTGACCATCATTACCATCGTCTTGTGGCTCATCTTGTGGCTCATCTTGTGGTTCATCTTGTGGCTTAGCTGTCATTTAAAATATGTTAAATAATTGCGGAACTAACAATCATTTGAAATCGTTGGAAACACGTATTTATATTTTAAGAATCTTAGAGTCTAAGAGGACGGGGCAATTACATTACTTCTCTCCCAGGCTAGAGACTAAAGAGCCGAGCAGTACTATCACTATCATATAATTAGCTTTAACAGTAACTTACGGACACATTTCAAGGCATCAAAGATAGCCTTGAAGTCGGTGTATAATTTAGCGTAATCGTTGACGCAGCTGAAACTGATGGTGTCGTATCCAAACTGAGACTCATCATTGAAGTTTTCCGGGTCGTACTCGAACACATACCTGGGATTCCAACTTTATCAATTGAATCATAATATAATCCTGAAACTTACAGACTTACTTTCTCGCTAACACACAATTTTCTGTAGTTTGAAGAGGACTCCGCGATATTCAAAGGAAAAAAAATTACTGCCCCCAGCCCCCTACCCCTGCCCTCTCCCCCAGCTCCCTCTTTACATAATACCAGCAATCAAAATCATGCTCTGAATAGCAGTTACAAGCGGTAACAGATTAAACTGTTCCGCGCCATTTCTATAGCCAAAGAAAATAGGTTTAATAGGTTCACCAGCGATACTGTTCATACAATAATGTGACCAAACATATGACCATAGACATGATGTAGACCACTTACTCGGCTCCATCATTTTTGTCTTTACAGATAAAGTCAAGTCTTTCCCCCAAGAAGATAACTTTGTCACGATCCCCCTCCGACAGTTCCATTCCGACAAACGGTCCAACGTTGTTCACGTGCACATCTATGTGCTCATCGGTAGTCATTACATTCGCATCAGCTTCCGACACACTACAAACTGAACGTCACAGTTAAAAGAGCTATCTAAATCTGAGTAGCAATTACGACTAACTCTGAACTTATCGTACCTTATTTGGACAGACATAATTCTGGATGGATATATTTTTATTCTTGGCTTACAATTTGTTTATTTGGCAACTTTTTGCTTCAAGCTTTGTTAATGAACAGCCAACTGATTCGAAGACAATATAAAAGCAGCCGTATAATACTCGTTTAAACATAAAAAAGTCCTTCACTAACTTTTAATGTCTGTCCAAATAAAGTCGCATAAGGTCCGTGCAATCACCCATATATTCCGCAACCATTGGTTAACAAATTTGACAATTAAGGGATAAATTTGCTAATCGCGATAATAGTCCCATAACACATATTTACCTTTGTATTAACAAGTTATATCGTTTCTTACCTAAATTTTGTTTTGCATTACAGGTTCTATGAGTATCATCCCAACAGCTATATCCATCGCTTTGACACGTCTCTTTAGTATGATATTTACCGTAAGGCATTTTACTTTTAACCTCTCTGACGGTGTTGGGTTGAGGACAGGAGGGATTTTCACTCTGCACGAGATCCGTATACTTGTCTGAAATGAAGGAGGTTATTTTATAAAAGCAAATAAATCACGAACAATATACATGTCTGAAATATAGGAGGTTATTTTATAAAAGCAAATAAATCACGAACAAAATACATGTCTGAAGTGAAGGAGGTTATTTTATAACAGCAAATAAATCACGAACAATATACATGTTTGAAATGAAGGGGTTATTTTATAAAAGCAACTAAATCACGAACAATATACATGTTTGAAATGAAGGAGGTTATTTTATAAAAGCAACTAAATCACGAACAAAATACATGTCTGAAGTGAAGGAGGTTATTTTATAACAGCAAATAAATCACGAACAATATACATGTCTGAAGTGAAGGAGGTTATTTTATAACAGCAAATAAATCACGAACAATATACATGTTTGAAATGAAGGGGTTATTTTATAAAAGCAACTAAATCACGAACAATATACATGTTTGAAATGAAGGAGGTTATTTTATAAAAGCAACTAAATCACGAACAAAATACATGTCTGAAGTGAAGGAGGTTATTTTATAACAGCAAATAAATCACGAACAATATACATGTTTGAAATGAAGGGGTTATTTTATAAAAGCAACTAAATCACGAACAAAATACATGTCTGAAGTGAAGGAGGTTATTTTATAACAGCAAATAAATCACGAACAATATACATGTTTGAAATGAAGGGGTTATTTTATAAAAGCAAATAAATCACGAACAAAATACATGTCTGAAGTGAAGGAGGTTATTTTATAACAGCAAATAAATCACGAACAATATACATGTTTGAAATGAAGGGGTTATTTTATAAAAGCAACTAAATCACGAACAATATACATGTTTGAAATGAAGGAGGTTATTTTATAAAAGCAACTAAATCACGAACAAAATACATGTCTGAAGTGAAGGAGGTTATTTTATAACAGCAAATAAATCACGAACAATATACATGTTTGAAATGAAGGGGTTATTTTATAAAAGCAACTAAATCACGAACAATATACATGTTTGAAATGAAGGAGGTTATTTTATAAAAGCAACTAAATCACGAACAAAATACATGTCTGAAGTGAAGGAGGTTATTTTATAACAGCAAATAAATCACGAACAATATACATGTTTGAAATGAAGGAGGTTATTTTATAAAAGCAACTAAATCACGAACAATATACATGTTTGAAATGAAGGAGGTTATTTTATAAAAGCAACTAAATCACGAACAATATACATGTCTGAAATATAGGAGGTTATTTTATAAAAGCAACTTATAAATCACGAACAATATACATGTCTGAAATGAAGGAGGTTATTTTATAACAGCAAATAAATCACGAACAATATACATGTTTGAAATGAAGGAAGTTATTTTATAAAAGCAACTAAATAATAATCATAATATTATTTCGCTAGAGTCAGAATACCCCGACTTAGTATGTATAGCAACTGCTCGTAACTAAATTAATAATACTATGAACGAGCGCATAGTCACCATGGAAACGCATAGTCACCATGGTAACGGTTTAAACTTTGGATTTACTCACAGTTGTCTGTGTTTACGCATTCCGGGAATGAAAACCCATTTATCAGCTCCGCAGCGCTACCGGGGTAGCTTGCCCGTTGCAGGATATAACCGAATCCAGCTGCTCCCATCGCGACAATTTCGATGTCACTGTCTGCAATAGAGTCTCCGGGGATGGCTGGGAAGTTGTTTTGCTATCAGTTTCAATACTTTCAACATTACAATATAACAAATAATTTGAGATCATGAATACGATGTTGTTACATTGAAGCTTAGAACATTTCCTTATCCTGATGAGAGCCTTTTCTCTGTCGCAACAAACGGAAAAACTGCAAATTTTGCCCCAGAATCATATATCAATATATTATAGGTGTGAACTGTGAAAACGTTTGGGCTTATTACTCAGTTACTGATACGACTAGCTATAATCATTCATTCGAGAAAAACATCAAATCAATCGATGAGGTTGTTCACTCAGGGGAAGTAAAGTGCTTGAAAATTGTGCTTGACATCAGGGTCCCATTGCATTGATAAGGCGGATTTGGAGGAAAGGGAAGAGGTACGGTTAATTGGGGTTTACTGTTTTATGATATGAAAATGTTTTGTTGGATGTACTTTGATCATTTTTCAGATTAACTTACGGTATTGAAATGTGATTACACCATCTGGATGATCCGGGCCCATAGACAACTCCAGGAACAATCCATCAGCATATATATCCTCTGATTGCGTCTTCAAGAACGTCCATACGTGACTGGGAAATTTGTCAGTCGTCTTTAGTTTGCTATCTTCTGCCAGGAGACCATCTTTCCTGTCGCTCAGATAAACTTCCAACTGACCGTCCTCGTCGAAGGCATACGTCACGTACCAATCGTTCATCGTGCCCTTAGCGTTGTCTCCGTCTACTGGATACGTATAAGACATCGTGGTGGTGTCTTCCGCCAGGATTTCCGGATCAAAAAAGATTATGTTCATCTGATACTCATGCGAATCCGTGAACATAGCTACCATGCGTACAGTTTTAACATCATATCCATTATCAGTACTAAAAGTGGATACTTCGTGGCTAGTCTTGCCCGTCTTACGTCCTTCTCCAATCTTGAGTGTCAGCGCCGCAACAGACAAGTCATATGCGATTTGGAATTTGTTGCCGAAAGCTGCAGATGAGTCATCCGTCATAACTGAAACAAAAGCATAAATTGTATCTTCAAATGGAATATTCGGGGTATTAGACTGAACTGGAAACAAACAGATTTAAAATTGTGCGCCGTGTCATTGATTGACGATATCAACTCATCAATTGGAGTCTAATATTATCCCCTGTTAACAAAAAGAAAGATTTGTGATCAAATATACTTACCTGAGCTATCCGGAAGAGCAGCCACTTCCTTCATAATATCATACAAGCTGCTAGCATCCTTCGTAAAATGGTACTGAAATGATTCCTGTAAAAACGTAGTATCAGTTGCAGGAAAGCAATACCGTTCCGCTAGAGTACCACCGAACACGAACAGAACCAAGATCAAGATCTGAAAGAAAAACAAATTAAAATATATTAACAAAGTGGTATTACGAATGTCAATAATATAAGTTAAAATCTTAAACTTTGTTCAAATTAATAAGAAATGGCCATAATTGCGCCGAATAGTTTTAGTTGGTAGGAGGACGTAGCTTTTCTGATTTTATTGAGAAATTACTACAACTAATCACTGCACATGACGTGTTGACAACCCCTGCTAAATGAAATGGTGCTTTATGGAGCACATCAGTCAATCACTCACCTTCATCTTTAATAGAAATAGATGTGCAGCACTGTCGATAGTCGTTACACTTACTGTTTAGATTATTCCTACATTGCATTGAAAAATATTTAGAAAATTTCTTTTGAAATACATTAATTAATTATTATTGATCATTCACGTAACGAGAACGGCAAAACGTGCCTCATGATAATAATTAATAAAACAATGATTCACATGTATTATAGCAGTATATACGATTATAGATGAGGGAGGAAAAAATTTTCCCTAAAAACCTTTAACTACGGTAATAAAATAAAAATAGTATCAATACTAATAAAGCCAAGATGTGTGTGTGTGTGTGTGTGTGTGTGTGTTTGTGTAATTTCCGGTCGGTTATATTGAAAAAACAGTAAGAGTTACAGGACAGGTTTTTTCGGTATAGTATCGACAAAACTCTGACAAAGCCCATATGCAAATTTTTTTAAATTCGGCCGGTCATGGTAAGTGGCTTAATTGATGGTTTTGTACTATTAATGCAACATTATGGAGTGAGCCACTAAAATGGCTCACTTTTTCTTCCTATTCGCTTTCTCTTCCATTACTGCATATTATGTAGATTGTAGCGTTGGTAATTAGGTTAGCTCCGCAAGTGATATTAGAAGTGTAGGGCACTGATTGCGGTCTGTTTAAACTGTAGAGAGAGTTCATACATTCATACGACAATGTTTATGCGTGTAATACTAATACTATACGCTTATTAGGGGAGGGGGGAGCCACTCATTGCGGTCAGCTGTTTGTTTACTTTCATACGTATAATGTAATGCATGTTTTCAAATATAAGGCGGGTGTGGTGCGGAGTTAATAAGGGTTAATTTCTAAAACGATTTAAAGCGGTTTAAGATGGGAGTGATCAGGTGTAAAAGTCGTGGTACAGATACTATTACTTTTGGATACGTGAGGGAACTCCGAATAGAATTGCTCACCTTATAATTCGGGTTTTGACTCAGCGGGTAATTACTCCTACCTTTTTAACTGCGGCAGTGAAATCCTGGCCGGGTTACACTAGTTATAAAATATGATGAAGTAATTGAAGTCCATGCTTAAGACACAAGTCCGAAATGATTTTCAGGAATCGAGAGCTGGCATCATGGGAACGAATGAGAAACTGGCTTAGCCGACTGTATGATTCAATGAAACAAGAAATTTAAGACTCATGTACAATTGGTGTGGGACAGCCCTTAAATAAACATTTTGCAATTTATGGAGGATTTCTGGAATGAGCGTGATCTTAATCAGGTAACCGGAAGTTAATTGTATCATGAAATTCAATTGTTCAGGAATTTGTTCACTGAGACTCACAAAGCTATACTCCAGTCAGAGTTTAGAATCCAAAGCTAAATTGTCAGGAATTGTGATAATTTACAAATCTGCAAGATAATTGTATTTGTGTGACTGGAATGAGCGTGACTGGAGTCTGGAATGAGCGTGATCTTAATCAGGTAACCGGAAGTTAATTGAAACATGAAATTCAATTGATCAGGAATTTGTTCACTGCAGAGACTCACAAAGCTATACAGATACTCCAGTCAGAGTTTAGAATCCAAAGCTAAATTGTCAGGAATTGTGATAATTTGCAAATCTGCAAGATAATTGTATTTGTAGTTGACAGATCACAGACCCAAGACCTTGTGCGGAAACGCATACCACAAATAAATCAATCGCCAATAAGAAGGATACGGTCGCACTCAATCACTCGCTAAAAATAATTATCAGGGTAGCAGGAAAAATAAAGATTTCCAGGATAACTTTGAAAAGATTTTGACTCAAACATTTTTCTGTTAGCGTCAAATGTCCGTCAATGTCCGCTGATGTCCCAAAAACACGTCCGTTATCTCATAGAGTTCAAAAAGGAAACGGACATTGGCGGACATAAACCCCCTCCCCCCTAAGGCTAAAATCACAAATAATTTCATATGCAAATTTTAATGAGGGAGGAAAAAATGTGCCCTAAAAACCTTTCACTACTGCAACTGTAATTGTAATCAAATAAAAATAGTATTGCGAAGCTTTTAAATTGGGCTTCATTCTGAAAAATAGGATTCAAGCGATTAAAGTTAAACAATGTCAATATAAAGAAAGTCATAATGTCAATGAGACGCAGACGATTGCGCTTTTAGAATTTTTTTTCTTTCGACTTTGAGTTTGACTAGTGGCATTGCCATTGGCGGCAGCTGAAAGCACTGAATTTAGTATCGATAAAAAGGAGAGTAGAGCGTTATGAAACTTATGATATCATTGCATCCATATGTGGAAAATATTGCACCAACACCACTCAAATGACCTGGGTATTCATTTTTCTACTCCATCAAGTCACGGAATCAAGGCCACTATTCCAATTTCCAAGTGTCGTTTTAGCAAGACCAGTACCTACTCGACGTCAACAGTCATTGTAGTTGTACGATGATTCATTTGCCGTAATGGGGGCCAAGTTTATGGAACTATATAAATTTCATCAGATCTTCAACTCATTGGAGACCCCGCCTCCACTGCTCTTCAAAGCAAAGCTGTCAGTATTTCTTAAATTGTCTCCAAATAATAATGCAGGTAAGTTTGAGTTAGCAATTAAAATCTGGGGACCTCAGGCGTTTTCGTGTCTTAATTATTGGCACGTAGCCAAGTTTGCGTGAAATTTTAGCTTACCCCAGCTTTTTAAAACTATCATTACTTGACTTCTGAGGGTCAGTTTTCTATGCAGTCTTGATCATTCGAGAAGTAATCCTTTACTCTATAGTTCAGTCTAAAAACGAAGTCCGAAAGAAGATAAATGTCGGATTATTGGACTGCTTTAATTCCCCGAAATTCCGGGATGCGTCCGCTCGACTTAATTTTATTCCATCAGTTAGGGGAGAAAGAGAGCTTTTATAAAAGTTATACTTATAGTTTTCTATATGTTTCGCTATCGCCTGAAGAGCTGTACACATTTAGTCTAAAGAAAAATTTAGAGAACAATTCACCGAAAAAATTAGACATAAATCTAAAATCCCTAATTACTGACCTTCATAAATCTAACAAAATATGAAATCGACCCTTTAATTTTAATAACAGCCTAAATTATGGGTTTTGTACTACATCAACACAAAATTCTGAAACCAAGGAAAATTTCAAACGATTGTCTACAGACCAGTTTTTGAATTTTGTAATTTCGATATTCAGAAGTACAGTTATGACCCGTTGAAAAATATTGATTTCATCATAAAATTAAAATACACATAATATTTCAAATACGCCAATAATTTTGACACCCTGCATGCTGCCCTAATGGAAATTTTTTCAACTGCAAACTGGAGTATAAATAGTAATACAAAATATGGCAACAGCGATGCAATTCGATTAAACTTCATTTTCAAAAAGTTATACTTAATTCGAGCGAAAATAGCATGCTTTTAAAAATGTTTCCTTAGGCTGTTTTTGCTACACGTTGTATACCTCTCGTGCACGCGAAGCCGGCCGGCGCTCAAAAGGGGTTACAGTGTGTGTCAAGGCTGTTCAGCAAAATTGAAGCCCAAGCTTATAGCCATATAATAGGACACAAGTCCAAATATGATTTTCAGGGATCAAGAGCTAGTGGTGAGATCGAATGAGAAACTACCTTAAACATTTTGCAATTTATAGAGGATTAAAGGAAAAAGCTGTGATCTTAATTTTATTTGCCTCACGTTTGCGCGGCTGTATACCGATACGTGACGTTGCATGGGTCTGGGGGTCTTAGTTTTACTTTTAGTCTTACTGGGCCACGCTCAGCCTGTCATTCCGCGCCTAATCTCCTGGATTTAATATATCAATATGGAACAAATATTTTACAAGTAATATCACCCGTTAATGGAATGAGCGTTATCTTAATCAGGTAACCAGAAGTTAATTATGTATCATGAAATTCAATTGTTCAGGAATTTGTTCACTGAGACTTACAAATAGTAGAGGCTCTTACGGGCAAAAAGACGTGTTTTCTGCTACGAGTTTAGAGACCTAACCGCTAATTGGACACAATAGTATGATGTCTAAGGATCGATAATATGTTAAGAAGTATAAATTTGGCCTTATTAGTCACGTGCTATACCAATGCGCGTTTTAAACTTTGACAGTCTATTACTCTAAGGCAAATAAAGTAATTATATTCATATTTTGTCAGCAATAAGATCACATTATTTTCTATTTAGTGTGAAAATATGAGCTAGAACGGACATAATCTCGCTGAGTTATAGCTGTTTGAAATTTATGATGAACGCGCGGGTGCCAATTGATAACAACTAAATGCTTTTGCGCGTAGTGCGCGTCGAAAATTTGGCAAAAACGCTTGCGGAGTGACAATATTCAAACTTCGATAAAGTATATGAAGTGGGTACTTCTCGGAAAGGAAAAATTTAGGCAAACACGATGTGACTATTTTTGGGTTGATTTAATACAACTGCAAAAAATTATTCAAACTTCAAGCAAAAAAGTCAAAATTTTTACCACTTTTTTGGATTTTTACTTCAGAACAAATAGAGGGATTTGTTTTATTTTTATACAATCGTGTGCGGCTGTCTTTTAGCTATCTTTATGCAAGTTTTGCCGACATGCCAACAAAATTAACTTGCTCAAAATATCAAAAAACATGGTTTTTTGGCCTATTTTTGGCCCAAAAATCGGTTTTTTGCGATTTTACCCCAGAACAATCAGTCCAATCATCTTGAAACCACTTTCAATCGATTTTACGGTCAAAAATACGTCTAGTAAGGTGTATCTGGGGTCCCTAACGTATCGAGCAGACAATGCCCGTAAGAGCCTCTACTAAAAGCTATACTCCAGTCAGAGTTTAGAATCCAAAGCTAAATTGTCAGGAATTGTGATAATTTGCAAATCTGCAAAATAATTGTATTTGTGTGACTGGAATGAGCGTGACTGGAGTCTGGAATGAGCGTGATCTTAATCAGGTAACCGGAAGTTAATTGTATCATGAAATTCAATTGTTCAGGAATTTGTTCACTGCAGAGACTCACAAAGCTATACAGATACTCCAGTCAGAGTTTAGAATCCAAAGCTAAATTGTCAGGAATTGTGATAATTTGCAAATCTGCAAGATAATTGTATTTGTAGTTGACAGATCACAGACCCAAGACCTTGTGCGGAAACGCATACCACAAATAAATCAATCGCCAATAAGAAGAATACGGTCGCACTCAATCACTCGCTAAAAATAATTATCAGGGTAGCACTAGCAGGAAAAATAAAGATTTCCAGGATAACTTTGAAAATATTTTGACTCAAACATTTTTCTGTTAGCGTCAAATGTCCGTCAATGTCCGCTGATGTCCCAAAAACACGTCCGTTATCTCATAGAGTTCAAAAAGGAAACGGACATTGGCGGACATAAACCCCCTTAGTAGAGGCTCTTACGGGCAAAAAGACGTGTTTTCTGCTACGAGTTTAGAGACCTAACCGCTAATTGGACACAATAGTATGATGTCTAAGGATCGATAATATGTTAAGAAGTATAAATTTGGCCTTATTAGTCACGTGCTATACCAATGCGCGTTTTAAACTTTGACAGTCTATTACTCTAGGGCAAATAGAGTAATTATATTCATATTTTGTCAGCAATAAGATTACATTATTTTCTATTTAGTGTGAAAATATGAGCTAGAACGGACATAATCTCGCTGAGTTATAGCTGTTTGAAATTTATGATGAACGCGCGGGTGCCAATTGATAACAACTAAATGCTTTTGCGCGTAGTGCGCGTCGAAAATTTGGCAAAAACGCTTGCGGAGTGACAATATTCAAACTTCGATAAAGTATATGTAGTGGGTACTTCTCGGAAAGGAAAAATTTAGGCAAACACGATGTGACTATTTTTGGGTTGATTTAATACAACTGCAAAAAATTATTCAAACTTCAAGCAAAAAAAGTCAAATTTTTACCACTTTTTTGGATTTTTACCCCCAAAAAAATAGAGGGATTTTTCAAATTTTTATATCATCTTGTGCGGCTGTGTTTTAGCTATCTCCATGCAAGTTTTGCCGACATGCCAACAAAATTAACTTGTTCAAAATATCAAAAAACATGGTTTTTTGGCCTATTTTTTGCCCAAAAATCGGTTTTTTGCAATTTTACCCCCAAAAAGTCAGTCCAATCATCTTAAAACCACTTTTAATCGATTCTACGGTCAAAAATACGTCTAGTAAGGTGTATCT